AAAGTTTTGGGACTCCTCTGTCTCCTTCAACTTCCTGAGGCAAAATAAAATAGCAACACTGGGTAAAAGCAGAGACAATCCTCTTAAAACCATAGCAGCAATGTAAAAGTATGCTTTCTTCAAGCAACAACCTTCTCCTGTTTGCCTCTTGTATAAATTTCCTGTAACAGCTTGTGACAAAGAAATGTTAACATTGTGTGCTAGAGCAAAATCCGGAGTGAAAAATATTCATAATTATTCTTTTTGTTCTCTTCAAGCATGTTTGCAAAATAAACTATTAAGTATTTCAGCTCTGCCTTGCTAAAGAAACACCAACTCATCTCAGGAACAAAAAAATCCACACAGCATCCTAAGAAGCATTTTCACAAAAGCCTAGCTACAAGCAAATAAAAGCAATAATAGTCTAAGCAATTAATTATGAACTTTCAATTTCTTCTGTCTTTGCTTATTTAAGAAAAGGAGGAAAAGAACTGCAATCATTTCATAGACCTCCCTCTGATAGCCTATTACAGGTCACAAGACAAATCGGTTTCTTATGCAGTGAAGAATCCAAGTACATTAGTACCAAAACAGTCTTTTTCTAAAACAAAACAAAATGGGCTGTTTTTTTCCCTAGTAATTATAACATATGAAATATAAGGGCAAACACTCTGGCACTAGATTTCTACTTTATTTTCTGTTTCCAGAGTTAGCATCCTCTAACTCATTTCGTAGAATCTTTTGAGTTATGTAATGTTTAAATTGCAGGAGTACATAGAAAACCCACAGGCCATAGGATCCCATTCTCCCCCAGACATGCTCTCAAATTGCACTCCCTACATAAGGAAGGGAAACTACTGTGAAATTACTTGAGCTAACGGGAGTTGAATTCAGTCAAACACCTGAAACTAACCAGACCAAAGGATTGAACCTAAGTACTCTTATCCATTCATCCTCCCAGACATTTTTGTGAAACAAATCTGAGGGCTACTGTTTTATTCCTTACTTTTACCCACCGATTTATCATCTTACAAAGACAATGCTCAACTAAAAAGGGCTAGGTTGGGTACTTTTTTTTTTTTTTTAATACAAAATGCAGATTTCAAAACCAGTGTACCTAGTCCTGTTACTGACCTCTAGAGCTTCTTGAAGTTGTTGCTTTAGTTCTTCATTTGATACTTCAGAATTAGACTCTGCAAGATGGATAACAGATACTAAAATATGTCATATTACAATATTTACAAAAGAAAAGATGAAAATTTGCTTTAGCCTGAAAACATGGAACATGCAGAGGTCAGTTTTCAGCTTTATGTTTTTTCTTTTTTATTTCTTCTGCAGCTAATAAGCAGATTTAAGAAATACATAAGAAGTAAATTCAAGCACATTCACATTTAAAGAGGCCACCTTGGAGGGAAAGAAGATCAGTTATAAAGAGATCTAAAATAAGCATGTTTTTTCCTCTAAATAAATACACAAAAGAAACAAATTCTATTTTCTATTTTGTCTCCAAAGAATTTCTTTTTTTTTCTATATTGTAGCTTTCAACAACAAAAATCAACAGAACAGGTGTTAGCACTTTTTAGAAGGATACATCATTTTCAGGAGACCCAGCTGAAGGACAAGGGTGGAATCACAGAATATTCCATAAAAGGTAACATTCTTTTAAATAAATGGTTACCCCGGATAGACACACACAGCACGTACACATATATATGTATACTCAAACTCACAAATACATAGATGGAGCAAAACCAACTCTGCCCATCTCCTCTGCCCTGTCAAAAGATTCTTTGATAAACATCACTTTCAAAAGCAAAACCTACTTCACACTAAAAAGCGTCACAGACCGATTAATTGAAAAGAAAAAGTTGCCTGTTGCAACACTAAACATGGGGTGCATTAGGGCTACAAAAACCAACCTGCAAGAGTGCATTACCTCTAATCATAGTGCCCATTAATATTTTGAGAGATTTTGACTGTTCTTGCAAAAAGTTTGAATTAAACTTGGTAAGAGCTTGTGAAATAGCTGAATGGCTCGATTTTATGATCAAAGATTTAGAAAATGATGATGAATAGTAAATAACTGTGCTCTTACCACAGCTACTTTGTTGGGTCCAACCAGTGACTCCAACTCCAGGCTTTCTGGATGATCCCTCATAAGAGCTGGTTTGTTTTGAAGAGGGAAGAACCACAGCATCATTTCCCCCTACTCTCTTGCCTGACGAGAGGGAGCTGCAAACCTTTGCAGACCCTTTCCTAGGTCTGGACAGACAGGAGCTCTGCGAATCGTCTGCTTCGTAGACGCCTCCAGGCCTCCTCCCGAGCCCGTTCCCCAGGTCTCCACAGGCCATGTCATCCTCTTCAGCATCCTGCATCTCCCTCCCTTTTTGAGGACACTTCACTCACTGTGCACAATGCCTCTTCCAAAACAAGCTATTTTATCTAGAAAAACAAAAATGGAAAAACAATTAAAAAAACCCAAATTCATAAGTAAAGCAGCCAAACAACACTGAAGTGAAAAATCCAACACGTTTAACAGGCTGCCTCCTGTACACGTCCAGGAAACAACTCTGAAGCGTGCCAGGACGTTAAGCATTTCAGTACCTGGGCTCTGCAGACGAACACGCTCGTGTCAGGGCCCTCGTCCTGCTGGCCTGAACGCGGGCGAGGAGGAAGCTGTGAGGGGATGAAGCGGAGGCGGCC